TCTAGGAGCAGGTGGACCGAGGCAGCGTCAGATAGATCGGTGCCATCAAGGCCCACAGAGCCCGGGGAGCCCAGCGCCACTGCTGTTGCCGGGATGGATCCCGAGCAGGAGCCTGGAGAGCAAACACGACCTGGGACAAAGACACAGGTGTTGGCTGTTCTTTGAAAGATTTTGGCCGTGAAGAGAAAAGGACCAGAGAAGGGTACAGGATGAGGGAAGGGTTTTGTGTAGGAAACCGTACATATTTTCGACTTTAGGAAAAGTCTTTAGAGAGGGAGAAAGAGGCTGAAGGCATGAGAGAGAAGAAAAATTTCCAGTACTGTAGTTCCACGTTTGTGAGGAAGACAGAAGAGGAGAGAATCCTGAGCAGGGGAGAGAGCAGCTCGGTTTCTATTCTCCTGTTTGCCATGGTTCCTTTCAATTTTATTTGGCCCACAAATGGCAATATTAAAAGTATGTAACAGGATGAAAAAAACTTGAACTCTCCAGAATTTCTCTGAGCAAGGAAGCTATATTTTGTCCATGTGTTGGGGTTGAATGAATGTGGGTGGAATTGTTGGGCACAAGTCAAGGGGAAGAGGGTGTTGCTGATGCCTCTTGCTCTCAGGAGAGGAAGAGAAAGGAAAGAAGGGAAGCTGTTTCTCCTGGCCCCAAGTCCTCAAGGAAAACATCTCACTGAATATTTGGTTCTGCTGGATATTTTGGTGGAAAACAGTAAAAGGACACAGATGCAAGCTTTTTAGGGTCAAGGCAGAGATGAACAATACCAAGACTCTATGCAAGTTTGTGATTATCTTTTGTGTAAAAAATTTCTTTTCTTTTTTTTCTTTTTGGTACCAGGGATCAAACTCGGGTCCTTACACTTGCGCAGCAGGCGGCGAAACCACTGAGCTAAATGCCCGGCCCGTGTAAAAACTTTTTTAGTGGCATAAAAGGATACATGCCTATTAGCTCCCAGACACTGTCAGGGCTCTGACAGGCATGGCTGAGCTGTCTCTCTGTCTCAAGGTCGATTAGGAGGCTACAATGAAGAGGTTGACTTCATGCAGTGATCAAAAGGGGTCGATTAGAAGGCTCAGCAGGAGAAAGACCCTCCTACAAAGTCACATGGCTGCAGGCAGTGCTAGCTCCTCTTCATCCCTGGCCCAACACTGCCCTCGGTCCTGGCCACACCAGCTTCCCCAGCATGCAACTCATTTCACCAAAGCATACAAACCAAGAGGACAATGGACTCTACTAGCAAGGCGAAGTCACAGTCTTTGGTAACCTAATCACAGCAGGGATATCTCTTCAACTTCACCGTATTCTGTTAATTAAGAGCAAGGCACTAGGTTCAGCCCCTGTTCCGGGGGAAGGATTTCTACAAGGGCACGAAGACCAAGAGGCAGGATCTCTGGGGCCACCTTGGAGACTGCCTGTAACAGTAGGCTCCAGGTCTTCACAAGCTATGGAATAGAGGTTCAAAGTAATTTAATATCTGAGAAAGGCAGAGTGGCTCCAGTTGACCTTTGGCTCAATTAGTCAATTGACACTACCATGTGACAGTCACTGCACCAGATGATTTCTCTTTTATATGCAAAATAATCTTAAACAATCAATACTTTCACTGTCCAGGTGGAAGATGAGGAAATTAGGTCTTGAGTTAAGCAATTTGACCAGGGTCACAAAACCAACCAGCGGCAGATAAAAACAGACTGCTAACCCAGGTTTGTCCACCTCCCAGCCTACGCCAATAAAGGTCAGTTTACACCTGTGCCACTCAGCCAGCTCCACATGCTGGACTCTGTTCATTCAGGGTCCTCACCTCTGGGCACCAAAATTTGGATCAGTTAGGAGTGCATTTGGCTTTTATTACCAAGAACCCAAAAAGCCAGGGTCTACATAAGAAAGACTGAATGGAAGTTCTTGAGGATGAGCAGGCCAAGGCAGTGTGCATGGCCCTGCAACATCTTCCAAGTCCTAACCTCTGCCCACACTTTCATTCCATCAACTGCAGTGTCAGTCCCTGAAAGCTGTACCTCCTGGGTTCGCATCCTCATCGCAGGCAGGAAAACAGGATTGAGGTCTTCCTTGTTCTTTTTGTAAAACCTTCTAACTAAGGGAGAAGTAGGAGGAAAGGAATATCAATATAATCAATGCAAAATAAATTAAACAAAGTAAACAGAGCAGGCAGGAAAAGTGGAAAACACAAGAGAAGATGGTAGAAAAATATTAAAACATTCATATTTACAACAAATGTAAATGAAACTTCACTTAGTATAGTGTCATTATAAATCGAATAATGTAAATAAAACCCAAAATTTATGGAATGTACCTAAAATAGCACTCGGAGAAAAACTTCTGACTTTAAATCCATCTATTTCAAGAAGCTAGAAGAAAAACTCCAATCAAAAGCATGGAAGGAAGGAAGCAACATAGATAAGAAAAGAAATCAATAAGTCAGAAAACATATATACTAGACATAGGACAAAGATGATAAAACTAATAAAACCATAGGAAGTCTAATCAAGAAGCGAGGACACAAATCACTAATATTCTGGGCCAGGGATTTAGCTCAGTGGTTTCACTGCCTGCTGCACAAGCGCAAGGACCCGAGTTCAATCACCGGTATCAGGAAAAAAAACAAAAACAAAAACAAACAAATTACTAATATTAAGCATGAAAAGGAGTATTATTACAAATTCTATAGACATATAATTAAAAAGCTACTATGCTGTTAATTTTGTTAATAAACTCAACAACTTAGATGAGTGGACTCTGCTGAGAAATACAAGTTACTAAAACTGACACAAGAAGAGATAGAAAACATAAATAGTAATAGATCTGCTGAAGAAATATTTGTAAAGAAAATTCCCCATAGAAAAAAATCCCAGGCCTAGGTGATTTCCCTGTGAATTCTGCAAACACATAAAACAGTATTAATCTCATTCAAACTTATTTAGGTTAAAAAATACAACAACTATTCTCATGTTTTTAATTTTATGAAATCAAAAGAACCCTGATAGTAAAACATGACACTACAAGAAAAGAAAATTGAGACCAATATCCTTCATGAACCTGAACACACACAAAAAATCCTTATACAAATATCAATAAACCTGGCTGGGAGTGTCTCTTGGTGGAGAACATGGGTGGGCAAGTCCCTGGGTTCAATCTCGAGCACCCCCCAAATTTAGCAAATCAAATTCAGAGAAAGAGAGAAAGAATGAATCACATTCATATAACTTATTGCCGTATATTTTTAATTATTCTATTTTATTATTGTTGTTAAAGTCTTACTGTGCCTAATTTATAAATGCCTAATTTACAAATTATAGTTATGTATGTATAGGAAAAATGTAATATGAATAGCACTGAATAATATCAACAGCTGCAGACATCCACGAGGGGACATGGAGTGGGGGCCCTGTGGGTAGGGAAGGTCCACCACAGTAATTCTCCCAACATTATCCTTGTGAGCAAGCCTAGGAAGCGACTGGTGATTCCAGGAGCAGGATAGAAGGCTCCAGGACCAAGGTCTTCCCGAGAATGGAGTTGATAAACACTTGACATGTTTGAACACACTAAAGGGTGGGGGACACATTCGCTGTAAGTGCACAGAAAACTAAACAAAGAAACAACTAAAAAGACAGTAACTGTTGAAAAAAACAAGAAAAATGTATAAAAACAAACAATCTTTAATATACTGTATGGTTAAATTATGAATCCACAATTAACCTAAGCAAACTTGTAACAGTTCTCAGAATCTAGTGAAGCTGAAAGTATAGGTGTGTGTTGTGGTACAGGTGTGGTGAAGGAAAGAAATTTCATTATAAGAATTTCATTTAAGTAAAAATTCAAGAAGTAAAGATGTAAATTATTATTGCAACATCTGAAGGTAAATACCAAAATAAATGGCTAAAATACTCAGTAGTGGCTACTTCTAGGGACTGGGAAATAGGATGAATTGTGGAACAGGGGCTCCACTTCCTTATACTAAACCTTGTAAAGTTATTTGTTCTTTATTGGAAAATAATATAATTCCTTATATTGTAATAGATTAGATGACAAAATTCTACACAGAGGCTGAAATATAAAATTAAATACATTTTTCCATGAAATGTTAATAAGACCAGACAAGTTCTTTCTTACCATGCTATGTGGCCTATCAGAACCTAAATGCCAGAGTTCGCCAAAGCACAGGAGTAGGAGAATGAGCCCATTATACCAGAAACAGGACAAGGGTATCCTCTATCACCAGGGACCAGAAAATGTGATTAAAGAAGAAACAGAAACTAGACATTTAAGAACTGAAAATACAGGCATCAACTGTCCTTGTATGTAAATGGTATGACTGCATACTTCAAAAATAGGCAAACCTTTCTTTTTTAAGGTTTTGAATTTTTACTTGACATATAGTCTTCGTACATATTATGGGACACAGTATGTTAATCTCCGATATGTATCCAATGTCAATTGATCAACTTGGGACATCAACATGTCCTTTTCCTCCATACAGTGGCCACAGAGTAGATATTTTACACTCTTTTTGCAGGGCCATTACTTTTTGGTGGAGATTTAATCCAGAGCTTTCCATATGCTAGGCAAGTAGTGTACCACTGAGCAACACACAAAGCCCCAATATTTTAGATTTCTTGGGCTGCCTAGGGCCTCTATCATGCGTCCTTTTTAAAAATCTATTCATTCATTCATTCATTCATTCATCCATTCATTTTTGCAGTGCTGGGGATGGGGTCCAGGACCTGGACAGCCACTCCTAAGCAGCATCCCCAACTCCTAAGCAATTCTTTTAAAATATGAAAACCATGCTGATTTCTTGGCTGTACAAACACAAGCCACAGATGGATTTGACCCACAGGTCTGTTTTGCAGCCCCCCCCCCATTTATCCAGAAAAAAAGAGAAATAAAGCATTAGAGACTCAAGCAAAATTTAATACATTCCATTTTTGTACATGGAAATCAATCAGCACTCACATCTTTTAAAAAATCTGGTTAGAAGATATAAAGAAAGAAAAGATCTTATTTAAAATAGCAACAAAAAATAAAAACCCTAAGAATAAACTTAATGAGAAATATGCAGTATTTATAGTTTGGAATCGTAATGCTACTGAAGGACATCAAGGAAAATTTGACAATGCAAAAGAACGCTGCCTTCTCAGCTCCTTGGACTCATAAAGCTGCCAGAGACGGGGCATCTATAAATTCCCTGGGATCCCAATAAAAATACTGAAAGGGTATTTTGGGGGGAAGGAAACTAGCTAGTTCTAAATTTCTTGTGGAAAAATGACCAAGAATAGCCAGAAATTTTGGAAAAATTAGAGTAATAAAAAAGGTTAAAATTACCATGTCTAAAATCCTATCCTTAATAATCACAACAATATAAATAGAAAGATCACTAAAACCAACTGGAAAATTCAGAAATAAGTTTAAGTATATGACAAACTTTTCATATTATACTAATGATGTTGGCTTAGAGGGATATCTATTTGAAGAAACAATGAAAGTGTTCCTTACTTTATAAGTAGCTCCAGAATAGATTCTGATACATAAAATTACTAGCAGTAATGTGAGAAGTATTTTATAACTTCATGTGAAATATGAAACAAAACCCAGAAATATAAAAAAGTATGAATTTTTTATAGGTTTAAAAACTTTTTACAACCTCTACAAAGCAAAATAATAGTAATAACAACAATAATAATCCTTCTGTAAGTCCAAAGATAAACCACAAATTGAAAAAATATTTATAACTCATATGGTTGGCAAGGGCTCTTTAACACATAAATGATAAAAGTAAGAGTAAAGCCAATAATCTAATTGAAAATGGACAAAGAATAGAAATTGCTCACATAAAGGGAAACTCAGATAGTTCTTGAACGTATGAAAAGATCCCAACCTCAATAAAAATAAGAGAAATGCAATTAAAGCTACAAAGCACCATCTTTGCACCTACGCAGCTGGCAAATATTTATCTCATTAGATAACCAACTGCTGATGACTTCACATGGACTTAATGGGAGTGCAGACTGATGTATCCTCTACGCGGTGACATTTGGTAAACTACCAAACTCCAAATTCACATACTCCTTGAGTCAACAAGTTCAGTTCCAGGCATCTGAAAATACACTCACACACATGAAAAACTGCTTCAGAGGAACGCTGGTTACATTTTGATGCAGCCATACATGGAACACTACCCACCATCGATTAAAAGTTGTGGGACCGAGCCTGGCCCAGAAGTGTGCACCTGTAATCCCAGCTACTCCAGAGGCTGAGGCAGGAGGGTCACTTGAGTCCAGGAATTTGAAGCCAACTTGTGCAATATGGAGAGATTTTTTTTTTAGTCTAAAAAAGAAAAGAGAAAAAAGTGTAAGGTAGCTCTTTGTCCACACTCAAAAAAATGTGTGAAGATACAATGTCAAATGAAAAAAGCAAGATATAGAACAATGTATATATTCTACCAACTGTATAAAATGTATTGTGTATTCATGGGGGTTGAATAAAGGAGCTGGTACCTGCTGTAACCTCTAATGAAAGGAACCACCTAGATGGGGTAAAGTTTTGAAAAGGGGACTTTTTTTTCACTAAATACTATTTTTTGGTACCCTATACATATGGAATCTACTAAAAATATATGTACATTCATTGTAGAAAATATAAACATAGAAACAAAAATATGTAATCTCACTATCAAAGGTAACAACCATTTGGTAATTGCTTTCCAATCCTTTTTTTCTAAGCATACAATGTTTCAGTGGTGGCTATGTTAAGACCACACGTGTGTGGTTCTGTACCTTGGCCATTTCCTTAATTAGTATGTCATACACATTTTCTCATTTTCCATTTCAAAACGAATCCTTCCAGTACAGGATTCTCAGTTTCTACTGGCTCAGAGCTGGGACTGGGTTGACGAGTTTGTTTCATTTTACCTGAGATAGGCGGCAAATCCTCAGGAAGAAATGCCTCTGCATAGCAGTCATCAGTGTCTTCTCCCCCAGCCTTACTGAAGGGCCTTCCTCATGAAGGGTAATTCCTGGGAGGGAGGGAGAAGTAAAGGGGACCATGTTTTGCTGGGAGAAGCCCCTGAAGTGGTGCAGAGGGGGGAAGACATCAGCAACCACTCAGGGAAGTGTACAGACCTCCCCAAACCTCTCCAGGGGAGGCAAGGGCCTCCGCAGCCTTGGGGACCAGAGCCAAGGCCACTAGAGCAGGACAGCAACTCTGCCACTGTTGCATTTGTTGTCTGTGAGAGCTTGTACAAGGAGTGGCTTTAACCTACCTCTGTTGAGCACCTGCTGTCACAGATCTCTACAGCGCTGTGGGAACCAACAAACAATCAGATGAAAGCTCTTCCCTTGGTGGATCCCCTGGTAGGAGAATTCACCTGGAGCAATTGCGAAGTTGTTGTAGACCTGGAAGATGGAGTAGCCAGACCTTCCCAGCAGGGCGTCCAGGAAGCAGGACCAGAGACCTGAGGACTGAATTTGTCCCCATGTGCTGGTCCAAGGCATGCACTGGGTATGGTGGAAAAGGCCCTGAGCTGGGATGGCTTCCATTTCCGGATGTTTGACCTCCATCTTCAAAAGTAACCACACTGTGCATTTTCCCAAAAGCAGAATTCAAGACAAATATTTATATTGGTGGGTGATCAATCCTCCAGCTGCCTAGAAAGGAGGACAGAGATGGCTAAAGAAAAAGAGGCAATAGAGACTTGGGTAATTTCAAGTATACGGGGCCCGGGATGTCAGTGCCTCAGAGCGGGAAAAGGCAAAGACACTCAGAGCTTGCCGCTATTTATTGGGTTCTCAGGGAGGATCAGATGACTGAGGCCGGTGGTGATCCTATGACCTTATGACGATGAGGATCTTATGCTGATGAGGATCTTAGGTCCATGCGGAGCTTATGTTGATGAGGACGGTGAGATGAACAAAACACTTACCACAGTAGATGGGATGAGTTAAGCTGATAAGGAACTTGTCCCTCCCCAGGTGAAACCTTTCTCTTCCTACTACTGGGTTCTAAAGGGACCAGGGAGTCTTCAGCTGATGTAATCTTGCCCTTAGCATCAGCGTCACAGGACAGTTGAGGCCTCAGCTGTGATGGAAGGCAAAATGGAGTTAACGTTTCAACCCACCATAGTCAGCCTATAGGCAGGAAGACTAGTCCTCAGACAGCCCTAATCATAATTTAATTGTGAAATGATTTTTTTCTCCAAAATTACATAGAATGGTTCTCGACATATTTCCTTGGAAACAGGGTCACAGGGAACAGAGAAGAGAGAATACAAGAATGCTTAGTGTTGGCCATGACTACTCACAACAGGGCTGGATCCCGCAGGAATCTTGAGGAGCTGACAGATGTGTGTCAGAGCCCAGTGCTGGAGAACAAAGGCTGGGGCATTTACTCCACACTCTTGTACCCCACTGCCCAAGGCTGGCCCAGCCCTACAGGCTGAGCTGGGGTGAATGGGTTCCCCAAGACGCCTGGGCCCCAAGGAGGAAGCAGGAGGTCCAGGGGAGCAGGGGAAGCAGGTGAGGGAGACCTGGGCCCTACTGGGTGGAGCCTGGGCAGCCCTCCTCGCTACACAGGCCGGGATGAGAGGGTTGGAAAGGCACCCGTGTTCCACGCACCCTGGGAGGCGGCTTCCTGTGAATTGAAGGACCAGCTTGACACCTGGTTTGTGCCAGTGCCTGGCTAGGAATGAAGTGCAGAGAGTCCTGTACCCCGGTGAGACCATAGAAGAAACGCTGTCCCTTCCTGTCTTAAAGTGAGGGCAGAGTAGGCCCTGTCCCAAGGCTGCAAGGCCCCCACCACACCGAAGTACAGATTGGTTTCCGACTGGAAGGACCGAGTGGAAGGTTTCACCATCCCTGAGAAAGGCTTAGAAAGGCTGTCAGGCTGAGATAAAGAATTCAAGCTACTTGGCTTTGGCCCAGCCCTCATTTTTTCAAGGACAGATGGCGCTCTTCTAAATTTCATGGCCTTTTAGGTTTAACACAAGGCTCCGGAGAGAGTGTGCAGAGGCTTGGGGTGTGGCTCCGTGGTGGAGTGCTTCCCTGGGATGCTGAGTTCATGAGGGATCTGGTGTCCTGATGTCTTTGTGTGGCAAGGATTGTGTGGCTAAATATTTCCTGTCATTTCACTTAATGCCATGATGTGCTGCACCACAAGCACTGCTTTTATCTTGTTTTTATCTGTCACCAAGGGCCCCAGAGATCAGGCACATTGAGTAGTGTGTCTGGGATCACACAGCCAGTGGTATGGCAATCACAGAATTTAAACTCACATCTCTCAGGTATGCTTTTTTACCTCCCCATCTTGCTCACTGTATTAGCTTTCTAGGGCTGATGCAACAAACGGAGCACCTTAGGAAAACAGCAATTCATGGACGCTCAATTCTGGAGGCTGTAAATCTCGGAGCGAGGTGTCCAGGGCCGGGCCCTCTGAGACCCTTCCTGGCCTGGGGATTTGCTGGCAACCTCAGTGTTCCCCATGCTGCCGGTGGAGCGCTCCTAGCCTGGCAGTGTCCCTTCGTGTGTCTGTGTCTCTTCCTGTCATGGTAGGACTCGTGGTCATGCTGGGTTATGGCCCTCCTGACTCCAGGTGGCCTCTTCTTAACTAATCCGCAACAACCCTAACTTCCAAATAAGGCCACACACTGCAGTTAGGACTTCCACACAAGATTTGTACTTGCTCAGTCTGCACTTGATGACGACTAAAGGAATGGCAGCAGGGGCTTGCCTAGAAAAGGAAGGTGCAACCAAAGGACAATCCCTCCCACCGGCGTGGACCTCTGAAGTGACTCTTCCTATTGACCACTCCATTCTCCCCAAGGCGGACTGCTGAAAAGTAAACCATTTCCACTGTTACTTAGCCAGTGACATGAGCTGGTCTTGCCCATTCTAGCTTCACAGTTTCATCCACACCCAAGATCATGCATCTCAGTGCGTTTCATCTCACATCATTCTGTGGAGCATGAAGTAGAATTATCCCACTTCCCAGATGAGGAAACTGAGGTGCATAAAGATTATGTGGAAACCTGGTTAGTGGAACCAGGACTCCAGCTGACCCTGCACTTTAGCCCCTAAGGCATTTTTCTCCTCATAAAAACAAAACCAAAGGCCTAAGGTTTTCATTTACTTAACTGTGTTCACCACACGTTTTTTCAGATAACAGAATTACATTCAGCAAAATGTTACAGTGTCTCTTCGATACCCAGTCTGCCCTGGGCCTAATCCCTGCCCAGAGGTAATCTTGCTCGAATCCAGTTTTCCTTCCTGGCTCTTTGACCCTGTATGTACTGCCTGTGTGTACACACATGCCTATTTTAGGGCTTGTTTTGTGTTTACATAAGGGCTGATCTTCTTCATGCTGTTCTGGTCCTGATATTTTCCACTTAACAATGTCCTGGAGATATTTTTGCTCTGTCAGCAGAGCTGACACCCTGGCTGTACCAATGTCGTCTCAGGACCACATACAAGCCCTGCTTCTGCACACTTCGTTTTCCTTTCTCTGTTCCTTTTCCTCCCTTGCTTCCTTCCTTCTTTCCCTCTGGGAATGGAACCCAGGGCCATGTGCTTGCTGAGCTCCCCCCACCCCACCCCCAGTCACCGCACCAGCCTGGGCTGTTTCAGTGTCACCCTGTGAGTCAATGCACGCACGTTTGCCTCATTCATTTGAGTTGCTGGGTACAGCCTTGGGGCCTGGAAGTGTGGCTTCCCCATAACCATCTGCGATCAGTGCATACTTATATTCCCCATTTCCCACTCCCTCCAATAGGGCGGCCCCCAACATCCTGTATCTGTCGCTCTGTGGGCTTGTGTTAGGGCCTGACTGCTCTCCCCACAGCCACCCCTCCACCGTGGGGAATCCATCACCATGATCCGGGCCTGGGACAGTGGCTGGCCATCCAGTCACAGGGGAGGGGTGGACAGTCCCTCTGCCTGGGCCTGGCCTTCACAGAATCAGATTCGGCTGAACCAGGATGTGCTCTGGCATTAGGGTGATTTTCTCTTTTAACTTCCACAGATCCATCAATTGTACATTCAAGGTTTAAAAAAACCAATGCAAAGGACCTCTGGGAATTTTATTATGTACCTACCAAGATATTTGAAACCTGAAGAGGAAAAATAAAAGCAAACAAATAAAAAGCAAAGCAAATAAATAAAATCAATAAAAATCAATAAAATCAATCAAATCAATAAAAGCAAAGCAAAGGGGAAAGGGAAAAGTAAATGGGCTGGAAGTAGACAGGGCGTATCATAGCCCTCAGGGCCTCTTCTGCACGTGGACTCCACCAACAGGGGTACAGCCCTAAACAGCAGTGCTGGTCCTCCAGATGCCCGGGGACTGTGTGGTGCCCAAATCATGTCACCTTGACACCACGCAGTAGAGGGAACACTAGGAAGGCTGTAAACCCCAGCGCAGTCAGTAAGAATGTATCACTATCCGCCTTCACTTGCAACAAATGTATCCTACCAGAGCCCTGTTCATAACTGGATGAAGGGGTGAGAGGAAGTAGAGAACTCCCTGCATTCTGCTCCGTTTTTCTGTAAAGGTAAGCCTGCTTCAAAAGCTAAAATCCATTCCTTAAAAACAGATCCCCTGCATCCAAGTCCTTCCTGCCCCGTCCCCTCCCTTTAAAATCTTGGATTGAGAAATGACAGGATGACCGAGCCCCTGGAAACATAAATAAATATTGAATAGAAGTCTGTTCATCCCAACAGCAGCCTCAGTGCACGCTGAGGGTGACACTGGCCCTGCTGCGTGCACGGCCTCCTGTCCCCGAGGCACACAGCTCTCCACTTGCTGTCCCTTCCCCGAGTTCCACAAGGCCCTGCAAGGGTTAAGGACCTCACCTCGGGGTTGTGTCCTGTGAAGGTTGCTCATTACCTTTCCCTTCACACTTCCAGGGCCAGGACTTCTTTCTCAGCCTGAGGTTAATCTGATTAGAGGTAAGGTGCTAATAACTTAAATGAATGCCCTTAAAACAGCACCCGATAAAATCTGTGTGTAAACCTGGACTCCCCAAAGGCCAGCAGCTGGAATGTCAGGCATGTGGGTCGCTGGAGGAGCAGGCGGGAGGCCCTTCCCTGTCTGCCTGCTAATCCCTCTGATCGCACTGTATCTGCGTGTGCAGTGCCACCTCGCCGTGACTCTTAGGAGTGCTTGTGAGTCTGACACAGTGCTCAGTACTTCGTATACAGTGCGTCTCTCTGCTTTCACAACAACCAGGGAAGGGACCATTGTCTCCGTTTCGCAAGGAGGTACGTAAGATTGGGTGCACCAAGAAACTTGTCCAGGGCTGAAATTCAAACTTATTCAAATCCTGCTTTAACCCCTTCCTTATCTGTTTCTCTCTATTCCTCATCTTAAGAAAGATCCTAAGTTGTGGTGAAGTTTAAAAATAGGTACAGTGTCTGGCGCTCAGTACAGTCATGAATCACTTATTCACGGGGACACATTCTGGGAGATGCTGCAGTCAGTGACTTTGTCGTGGGAAGACCACAGAGCAGATGGTGTAGTTCACTGGGATGCAGTCACAGGACAATAAACACGAGGTGTCTGAGGCTGCGGCTAGTGTCACATTACTGACTGTTTGTAGGACATTTTTTTAATAAGTAGAAGTATATTCCATGTATGTATAGCATGTGTAGCAAAATACATAAGCCACGAACATAGTCATCTCTTATCACCATGTATAATTGTGTGTGCTACATTTTCATAGCACTGCTGGGCAACAGGTGTGTTCATGCCAGCAACGGGTATGCACATGCAGCAGTGTGTTGCACTATAACACTACGATGCTACTGGGCATCAGGAGTGCTTCAGCTCCGTGACAACTTTATGCGTCATATATGTGGCCTTTCATTGTCTGAACATCATTCTGTGGTACGTGGCTGCACTGTTATCATTTTTTGTCACCAGGGGTAGAGATGGTCCAAAAGTGTCTTACAATTGTAATAGTTATCAGTAGACAGCATGATAATGCATGGTGCTTTATATTTTTTGGTTTTTGTACCAGGGATCGAACTCGGGGCCTTGCACTTGCGAGGCAAGCAGCAGAACCACTGAGCTAAATCCCAGCCCCGTGGTTTATATTTTAAAACTAGTTTTACATATGTTAACTTAATCCTCATTACTTGGGGACATTGACACAAGAAAACCCGAAGTAAGTGATTATCTTAATCTTCTCTTTTCACTCTGCAGTAACTTCCTGCTGCTGCCATGGAAATGCTAAGTTGCTACCAAGTCTCCCGGCTTCATCCTCAGGTGCAGCCCAGCCTGCAGCCCCTGCTCAGACAGAGTCTTGCCCATACGAGACGTCAGACTCTGGGAACGAGTCCTGCTTCCTGTCCTCAGGAGGCCTCCCCTCATGCCACCCCTCCTACCCAGCCAGACGTGGGAATGCATCTCAACTGGGAGCCTATGGGTCTCTGATACAAAGATGCCTTTCCAAGCAGTGGCTTGAACAGGGTGGACCAAGGGGCAGCTGATGGGGTGGGGAGTCTTCTATCTCATGAAATGGAACTCAAGGCCCAGAGCCCCCACCTGCAGGGCAGAGGGCCCTTCCTCAGCTCAGCAAGGGCATTCCCGGGGCTCCGGCCCTGCCCGGACACTCACTCCCCTGTGATGAGCTTTCCCAGGAGTCCCTACCACAGGTTTACCCTCTCATGCTGGGCCCCGATTGGCTAAAGAGCCTCCCCCATCTACCACCGGAAGTGTAGCGTGGGGCCTGGAGCCATCCTTCTCTGCAGCATAGGGATGCAGTAGGTGGAGGAGAGGGAGGCTGGAGCTGGAGCAGTGGGCAGCCTCTGGCATGTGCCTTTCCACAGAGCCCTTCCCTTCCATCCTCCCACTTCCCCAGGCTCAAAGTCACACATCTGTTAGACTCAGTGTTCACACGAGTCATTAGCATCCTCTTCCCTAGTGGACTATAAACATCATAAGAGCGAAGATGGTGCCTGGTTCTGTTAATTACTGAATTGCTGATCCCTGGCAGAGCCTGATGGGTAGTAGATGCCCTAAAACAGTGATGGAGAACCTTGGCACGCGTGCCACAGTGGGCTACTTATATCACTGAAAGCTCTGAAAGGTTCGCCATCGCAGCTTTGATATCAGCAGAATGAATAAATGAACTTGAGTGAACAGGGAGCAAACATTAAGCTCTATGAAAGTGTTTTCTTCGTTAAGGCATTTCTAATTATCCAATCTTGTAGGGAAAGAGGAAAAGGTAACAACTGAATTTCTACATATTCAGGGATCTGCAGACAGATGGAAAGAAACGGGCACAGTGGGCTCCAGCTTGCCTAGAAGGCGCCCACAAAATAGAGCACTGGACGGCCATGGGCCATGGGCCATAAGCAAGATGTCGACTGCTCCCTGGCCAGTCCGAAAGAGTCCCTTAGTTTTGGGTCCACTATGCAGCGCTGGCTGCCTAACATGAAGCTAGAGGCCCAGAAAGCCCTGGCTTCATCATTAGTATCCCAGGCACAACTCGAAGGTGGGGGATTAATCCCTCTGACAGGCACATGATATCTGGAAGCCTCTGGCATACTTCTGCGGGAAAAGTCCTACCAGCAGGCCTCTAAAACTTTCCCTGAACGTCGGCGGTGACAATGTTCAGCTCACAAAAAACTTCAGCGACGATTTGCTAACCACTTCAGCTTGCACCTGGGACCTGGGGACTGAGGGGAGGGGGAGGCGAGACCCCCAGGACACAGCACAGACCAGAGGCAGAAAGAGGCCGGGGACCCAGGCTGCCACTCTGCACACAGCCCACTCAGCCTTCAGCAGGGCACAGCACAGAGGCCACAGTGGGAACAAGGAGCCCCCCACCCACCCCCTCAATAGCTAAGAAATAGAAACTAGAAGATAAGCATTCCTCCTGGCCTGGGCAGATCTGCTGACAAACTGCAATTCTCCTCCCTATACACTTTCATTCAAATGTACATGCACTCAGGCATGTTTATATATTCATATATATCACACATATCCATATTCGCATGTTTTATGAAACTCTCACTACATTGTCTAAGCTGGCCTTGCGATTCTCCTGCCTCAGCCTCCCAAGGAGCTAGGGTTGCACACATGTACCATCACACCTGGCCCCGTACATCCACTACTAAAAGATCTGACTTCAGAGTCAGGTCTCAAGTTCTGGTCCCAACAGAGCTCACTACCTCTGTGGCTCCAATCTATCGCCGGCTGCGGCTTTGCCAAGAGGCAGAGCCGCTTTTCCAGGCAGCCAGGGGCCACAGAAGGGCACTGTTCCACGGCTCCCTGCTCAGGAAACTCGGGTTCCCGGAGGCTGGGCATGAGCCTGAGACCACTGACAGGGTGGAGGAGAGGAAGCCAGGGGCCCCGTGCCCTTCTGTCAGTGGCCCTCACCCCTCAAGCAGGAGGTCACGCAGCCCCCCAGGGTACAAAGTGGGTGATGACTGCTGAGCCTGGGCAGGGTTTGTGCTTTCCTCTCGACTCTAGCTGCCCAGCCCTGACCCAGCTCCTTACTTCTGAGTCTTTTTTTCTTTTGGTATCAGGTATCGAACTCGGGACCTTGTTCTTGCAAGGCAGGCGGTGGAACAACTGAGCTAAATCCCTGGTCTTTTACTTCTGAATCTTGCTGTTGTGCAGTAAATGTTTCATATACATTGATGTTTGTTGATTGACTGCCCAAATGAAGTAATAGTGCATATATAATATCAACCACCTAGGAAAAGTGTTGCAAACAACTGCAAATCAAGATTGCTGTAATTAGCACTTATGTAGGATGTATAACTTTCTAGGCCCATCACATACATTAACTTCAATACTCACAAGTGTGGTGGTGCACACCTGTAATCCCAGTGCTCCTGGAGGCTACAGCAGGAGCTCTGTAAATTCAAGCCCAGTGACTTAATGAGAACCTGTCTCAAAAAAGAAAAAAAAAAAATACTTGAGATCCAGCTCAGTGGGAAGGCCCGGGATCCAATCCCTGTATCACAAAAATGAAAGGGAGGAAAGAGAAACCATTTGCCCAAAGGTACATTTTTTTTTTTTTAAAGTAAAGGAGACAGGATTTGAACTCAGTTCTGTTTGATGTCAAAGACTCTTCCACTACCACGCTACCTTTGAACTGCACAGAATACCCTCCTCCCTGTAAAAATGAGTCACCCTGTCCTTGCTACCGGGGGAGGGAAATGCAATTGACATGATCATTACCCCCAGAGTAGTCTGGGGCAGTAGGCCAGAAGGATTTGCAATAATGTGGAACACTTGGTACAGGTGGAGGTGGACAGGAAGCCCAGCAGGCATTGGGTCTCCCACCAGGGAGGTGCAATGTGGGTGACGGTACCCTCAGGGTTTAAAGGAAACAAGCCAAGACAAAAGCATTTCTCATCCCCTTGCCAGCCTTGTTGCTGAGCACTCCCTAGCAGAGAATGGAGACCCCTTCCCTGAGACCCTGTTATTTCCCACCTCTCTGCCCTCCCTCCCTCGGATCACTGCAGGAGACAGGCAGGGCTGCCAAGAGGGAAGGGAGGAAGGCGGTGTAGGGTTCCACTGCCCTGCGGCCCCACACGCGGGGGCCCCCCACCCCGGTCCATCCATCAGGCCTGTCCCTTCCCACTCGGCCGGTCTGCAGGGCCCTGGCCAGGGTGCTGCCCCCTGGAATGGCCCCCTCAGCCCCAGGAAGGGAAGAAGGCTGCTCCTGTGTTCGCAGGATGCAAGGCAGGCAGCCAGCACCCAGCACTCGCCGGAGAGGAGAGGCGGGACCGTCTGCCCCACTCCAACACCCGGAAGTGCGGGTACTTCTCCAGGGTGGCCCATGCGCCCGCCCTGCCCACAGCTCACGCCTTCACCACAAAAGAACGGTGTGGGGAAAGGGCGTGTGAGCAACTTCCTGCCACCTATTCAAAACACAAAGGCGGACGACCAAAATAGGTGAGAAGCACCGGTTACAAGTCACTTTGGAGACCATGTGTCCCAAGGAGGCCGGCCTGGGTCGGGAACTGCGGAAAGTAAGCTCGGATTCTAGGGTCTCCTCCCCGAGTGAGGGCAGATGTGGCCAGGAGCCCACACTGTTTTGAGCTGCAACTAAGCTTGAGCGCATGCGTGTCGCGCATGCGTGCCACACAGTTTCCCCGCCTATGACTCCACCTGCGCAGGCCAAGGAGCCATGGCGCAGGTCATCCAACTGGTCAACCCCAAGTCACCATCCCACCCGATCTGAGAGTAAATGTGGGTCCGACTTCTTTCCATCCTCCACACCAGTCTACTCACCATTGCATCCCACCCCTCACGAAATGAGTGTGTGCTCAGGAATGTACATCCACGTTAATACAACCACGGAGAAACGTCCCCGAAAAACAAAAGCTCTTAAATATCCCAAAGGCTTTAAGATTCCTGTTTCCCATGATCATTTATCCAAATGCATCTCTCCTGACCATTACAAGTCAATGTTTGGGAAACTGGATCCTTCGGCGCAGTATACTAAAGAGACCACATTGCAAACCCTCCTGTTCAGATGATACAAGATGTCTCCCTGGTACATCCTGGCTGGCACTTGTGGGCTTGAGTACCTGGGGCTCACCTGAGGGTTCCTGGGGGAGACAGTCCTCAGCTCTCCCCTGGCTGCTGCAATCCAGCCCAGCAACTCCAGTGGGTAGGAAGCCAGCCAGACTCCAGGTTCAGGCAAACAGCCCTCGTAAATGGACTTTCAGCAGGAGCTTGAGTTGGCAGAACCAAAAAAGTATTTCACCCCCAGCATGTTCTCCCTTGATTTCCATACCTTTCAAGGGTAATGTAATTCATGGGTATCTGATTCATTGAAAATAGCTCGGCAAGGCCTGCTTTGTGGGAGCTATTTGATGACTAAGATGCCTTTCTTTCCTGCTCTTCTGAGCCCATCTACTCCAACTCTGACAGGAAGCTAGCAAGGCACAATCCACATTAAAGCAGGGAAAGGAGCCCAGGTACCATGTAGAAATGTGCTTAATCCTCCAAAATAGCCTGTGACCACTCTCCCTGTTTCCCAGATAAGAAGACAGAGGTTCAGACAGGGACTGGCATCTGTGTTACAGTTGGTAAGTGAGAGAACAGAACTGTGGAATAAGCTTTGCCTGGCTCGGAAGACTGCCTTTTCCCTATATGACCCCATACCCTGGGAAACAGGCTGCATAGTCCCAAGGATGCCACTTAATAGTTTATGCTTCCCTTAGCATCTTTCCTCTGTTTGCTCATTTGAGACTCCTGTGCTAGCCGGAATCTGGAAGCGTAATCTCACAGTGCTGCAGCAAATAAGGTCCAGCTTGTCCTATACTACTACATGGAAGGCTGGCTGTGTTCTGAGCCTCTTGTCCCCATGGTTGGGGAGTACACAGTGGAGTTGAAAGATACACTGTGTGTAACTGCCATGAGCATTCACTGGAGCCTCAGGAATCTGCCACTCTGGGGCCATATCCCCCCAGACTGCAGGTTGCCCAGGCTCCAAGACCTCTTCTCACTTTGACAAGCTGCAAGCATAAGACGATATGGATATCTTTGTGCCAGAGCTGATGCATCAGAAGGCAGAACCACAGAACAGGGAGTATGGTTACAGCTAGAAGGTTTCTCTTAGAGGCAGGCAGTGGCACCACTGAGCTAAATCCCCGGCAGGAGGGTTTCTATTAGAAATAAAGGCCTCCTGATAACTTACTAAATTTGGCAGCAATCAGAGAGAACTTACAGAAATTCTTTGCCAGGAAATATATACTTCACATCCTAGTTTGGAAGAGTCTCTCTGCAAAGACAAACTAAGACCTTCTCCCCTGGGAAGACTCTGAAGTGAGGCAGAGTAAAGGTGCAGTTCTGGCTGAACAGCTTGAACCTGGCCTGTCTCCCGTGGGCACTGTCAGGATCAAAGATGGTAACATCTCCAAAAGCATTTGCTGGCCTTTGGTGCCAAGATGAGGACAAAGATTTTAAGACAGTTCCCAAGCAGTAGGGGGTTTGAGGTGATAAGGTCAAAGCCACCGTGTCTTAACATGTCTGAAAATTATCATCATCCATGCATTTTCAGTTTTCTATTTGATCTTTCCTGTACCTTATGGGAGGCAGTTCAGGAAGGAAATTAAGGTTCAGAGTTGGGTGGTATGAAGAAATTCTGCACTAACTTGATGGCTGGAAGCCTAAGGCTTGGAACCCACCCCTTCCTCGAGCAACTGTTTGGTTGCCTAGGATGCCTGGGTAGCGCTTACCGCTACCCAGGCTGTGACACAAGGAGAGCAAGCCCTTTCTTGATTGCCATGGATTTTGCTGACAGGATGTCTCCTATCTGATGTTGGGCAGTTCCTGGGAGCTTACATTACTCCTGTAGTAACCTACATGAACAGCTGTCAACTTGCTGGGCAGAAAGTTGGCTGGAAATTTTCAAACACTTTGAATTAAGTAGAGTTCACTTACATTTTTTTTTTCTGCAAGTTTCTGCTTTTATCAAAAGAATTCCAATAAAGTATTTTAAAACAACAAAAAACAGTTGGGTGGTATGAAAGGCCAAGGCTCCAGATGAAAGTCGATGCTCTCTTTGATGTAAGTTTTCTCACACACGTGGATGATTCCTTCCAATGTGCATGGCTTCACTCATTCATCAGGTATTCATGAAATAGCTTCAAAACAGAGGAAACAGCAGAACTGGAGCATATTTCCATTCCGGTTCCAGTGTAAGAGGGGACAATTTCAATGAAATAGCAGCATCATGTCATTCCTTCATTCTTAGTGTCTCATCATCTACTGTGGCTGACAAGGTCTGGCTGCTCTGACCCAGCTCTCTAACCTCACCTGTTTCTTCCTAGTGAACACTGTGTGCTTGAAGCTCACAGACCTTCCAAGG